ATTGTGTCCTTGCTAGATTGCAGCTGTTTGCGAGGGGCAAACTATTCCAGACATGTGTAAACTGCTCAAGAGAGTACATTTATAGCACACATTTCCGGCGTGCATCTGCAAATACTTCGTCAGGTACCCAATTTGAACTAACGTGACTCTGCGAAGAGTAATAAACCGCAACTAAGGCGACGCATGACGCATCCATTTTATTTTATCGTACAAACATAATTAAGTTCAGGTGACTGCAGATACTGATGAACTACGCTGTTTTAGATATCAAGATCTTATCTCCACGCACGGTCTATAAGAGTGGTTCTTCTTAGCACATCGGTCCCCAGATTGAACTGGAAGTTTACTGGAAGAAGGTTGCTCTTTCTCCAAAAACATCAACTCAAGATAACTTTAAACTGACAGTGTCCAGTGGAATCAATCGTCAATTTAAAACTAGCGTTGAACTGTATTCAACATGTTCTCTGTTGATATGTTACTATAGTCAGAATGAAAAAAGCTTGGCGGGTTATGAATAATTTTGAAAGTATATAAAATGCATTTTAGCGACAAGTCGTCTTACGTGATTTATTATCGGGTTTCTGGTAGGTAGGTCATGAATCTCTGGTTGGACTTTGCTGTTCAACTAGTCCGAAGTTTATTGATACAGGTGGAATCTGTATGACCCATTTTGTGCTTGCTTTAAAGTTAATGTTAATTTGCAGAGTGCAATTTTTGCTACACAATCACGTGGCGTCACGTTGAAGACACGTGACGTCAAATAGATACGGTAAACATATGGCCGGCTTTCTGGTTGAAGTCACACAGTTGGGAATAGTTGCACCTGTGCTCGTTGGTTCCTTTTAGTTTGGGCCTCTATTACAAGTTCTTGTTGGGTTTATTTTGAGCTGACTTCATTTATCTCACAGTGTGGTTCTTGCACTGCCATCAACTCATGTGAGCGTCGCTGTAGATATTATCGCACGTCTGACTCCTGTTCAGAGGAATTGTATAACTCGGTTATTGGCTAATCTGTATACTTAAAGTGAATGAAGCTCAACACAGTGTTTGAAAAAATTGTAAAGACATCTCGAGCAACAAAACTGCTCCTCACTTTGTTGTACTTCTTAATGCAATTCAGTTCAAGAGAGCCAGCACCTTGGAGCGTCAGGTCTAACCCTTCCAGTGGCACCTATGTTGCAGCCTTAGCTGAAACCCAGACTGTAACTGGAGAGACACCAGTCTCCGATAAATTCTAAACAATTTTTGCTTTGCAATTCTATTCCTTCTGCGAAACGATTTTAATTATTTCACAACTTGAGGCGAATATCGGGCCTAAACCGTCAGTATTTTAAGATCAGGTAACTGATAAACCACTGGCGATCAGTTACTCACAATCTTCATGAATGAAAATTCCTTTGCTGCATTAGGATGATTGTTCATTTCATCTTGAACCAGTTTAAGCCGAAGCGTCATCTGCAAACGAACAGGGCACCACTAGGCCATTTGCTGGTGACCTGAACGCGTTTAAACCATTTGACTTAGTTTGGTGCCATTGAACCAGTTTAAGCCGAAGCGTCATCTGTAAACGAACAGGCCAACACAGGGCCATTTGCCAGTGACCTTAACGCGTTTAAACCACTTGACTTAGTTTAGTGCTGTATTCCCGCTGTCTGCGGAGTCTTGTAAAATGGCATTATTTTATACACGGTAGTATTAATAATAAGGTGCAATGACTTCAACAGTCGAAGCCCCTCAACTGACCACTTCCAAATCACGGAAATGCTAACTAGGGAATGCGCTAGAGAATCGAATCCTAACTCGGTCTGAAATGTAGCTGGTTTTTATGACCGTGGCCAAAATTGCTGCACAGTTTGTGTATTTGAGCACACGTTTTTTACTCCATTAATTTTATTTTTCATTCATTTTTGCATTTTTTATTTTATTTCATTTTATATATTTATTTTATTCATTAGTATCAAGAAACATTTGAGGGTTTTAACGCGAATATATAACATGGCGCTCAACGTATTCCATGACAACCAAGAGACGTCTGGCCCTACGTGTCTGTGAAAAACTGGTTTACTATTTAGTGTAGTTACTCTCATGATCAACCAAAACGCCTAAAACGTCTTTGTCCCTCGGGTTTTGTTAGGGAGGAAGTTTTTATTGATTGTCAGATTAAATGTCAGTTTGCTGCATCTGGATAGCTTTGTAGTGGTAATAAAAACTGTAACACTCAACTGTGTCTTGTCGGAGATCATTTGATCAGATGACCAGATGAATTTGCATGTGGTGATGTGCTGGTCAGTTTGCCGAGCTTGGCAGCCGCTTTGCAAACGTTTCTCCAGCAATAGAGCAGAGATCCAAAGACGAGCTGGTGACGCCCTCTTCACGGGTAACAAGAAATACGCCAAGCAACTGCAAAGCTCTGAAGCGGCCCGAACAGACAGATGCTACTACGATATTCTATTTGCATGAACTGCAAAATAAAAGGGGTAGCAATCTGTATACAAATCTAGTCGCACTTGATGCAAAAATAAAGCTGCAACTAGATTGCGAAGAAACTATATTGCTGATAGGCCACCGGCTGCCACATGCCACAGTGCGACACTACCAGCTGTTAGATTGCAGGATGGTACCTTCCCAGTTATTTTCGGACACACTGCTGCTGGATACCAACAAGGATTGCGCCTAAGCGTTGCTGCGTGGATTAACTTAATTGCTTGGATTATATTTCGCTGAGTAAGAATAGTTTGACAAGAGGATTGAAAATTCTTTTCTGAGACGTTTTCACTCGAGTAACCAGCCAACAAAACTTGATGCGGTTTTCGACAGTGAGGGCTCACTGGCGCTATGGTCTGTTTAGGTGAGAGCTACTCACATTGCTGCACAGGGCCAGACGGTTAATTTTTCAACCATTAGCCGGAAGGTCGCGGTTTGGAAACTCTGAGTTCCGGGGGATGCGCAGTGCTAGTGATTCCCAGCGAGGATGAAACAGCTGTATAGTAATTAGTTGATTTTCAGCACAGACTGCCTTCCCTGACTGGATGAAACCACTGCTGAAAATCATTCAAACTGTTCCACTTCGTCTCCGATTGGGATAACATGTACATGGCTGAAGTGAAATATGACACCTGCAGCTTGTTGTCCAGGTGCCATTACAGGCCACAACTAATGTGCGAGTCTTCATTTTCGACGTTTTTTGGACGTGATTTTTTATTTATTTTTGTGGATTCAATTGATTGCCAGCACCAAATCGTAATCTGTGCTCTGAAGGTTCAACAGCATCTGCTCAACGACTGTGACAGCGGTTGAGCAGCCGTTCAGAAGTAGAAGACAGGGACCGTTTTGATAAAAGCAATCACCGCCACTTTCGCGTCCATCACACAATGCATACGCTACATACACCCCCCCCCCACACTTTTATTTTATCACCAAATTTAGTTGAAATGTGGGCGTAATTTTACTGTGGGTTTGACTCGTCATCCTTCTCCGTGCATATAAACGGCTTTTTACGAATGAAAGGTGTAGTGAACTTGACAATTTTTGTATAGACATTTCATTGTGACATAATCAGTTCGTTGTCGCACAGCGGAGCGTAGCGATGTGTCGGCAAATTATGGGTGTGACTTTTTATACTCAGCTGTGATAATCAAGGACCACACTATCCCTATGCATTTGCACACACACACACACACACACACACACACACACAGTGACACACCACTTCACTCTGCTATACAACAACGCACTAATGGTATCGCTCCGGCTAATGGTGAAACATTTTGAAAAAAGGATTATCAACCTCATCGAACAATCGGACCGAAACTTGAACATCCTGAGCTATATATCCAACGAATATGTGTATTTACAATGAAAATCGCGTGGGCTCAGCCTTATTTGTCACTGGTTGTATGAAGGGAGTTACCGAACCCTATTCCTTAGAATGCATGATTGCTTCTAGCTACAATATTCGCTCGTACTTTTGCTTGTTTTTCACACTGAAAAATACGGGTGAAAGTAATGTTCAGAAAATGTGAATGCAGTCGCACCAAGAGGATGAAGTACACTCTCATGAACGTTTAAACTTTCCATAGCACGCTGCTATTAATGAGTAGCCTACTACCTACCAAGTTAGGTAAAGTACTATGTCCAAACTGGCGAAGCCTGTGAATAGTAACTCTTAATTAGGCGTCCTTTGACACGTTTCTCCGACAATTTACCATTGAACTTACCAGCCGTTAGGCTACCGGAACAACCAATACGTCATTTTTCCTGTTTCCTCTTTCAGGCAATTCTCCTATTTTTGAACGGTGTCCTTGGTGCCTGCTTCACGGAGTGTGTCTACCAACCTTTGGGAGATTTGACGGACCTACTGACTTTGATGAACAGTGTTGTCAATTTTATTCTCTACTGTTCAATGTCACAACTGTTTAGAACTACGTTTCTAAAATTGTTTTGCATGTGGAACCATCAGCGCATACACGGAGGTAGCCTACGAACGACTAACTTGAATTTGCGCCCCACACCTGGGGTGTGATGATAATTCGAGACAAGGTTTCGAAAGCAAAATTGATCAAATGTCTCTGTGATATTTTTGCTCGATTACAATGTAACTCACCTTCACCAAAACCTTGCTTGAGACATGTGCATTTCGAATCTTGTTGTTCCATTCTAGGACAGCATGCGTTTTTGAGTATGGACGAGATTTTGTATTCCTGCATGTGCGTTTTGTGCCTGCTATGCTGGTCTCGCATGAAAATATAAAGAATATCAGCAACATTACTGGCTTATAATACACGAGAACGTGATCAAAGCCATGTAGCAACCGATAGAAATTATTTAGCAGTCCATTGGAAAATTAGTGATCATAACAGAGATCAACGCCGGTTGCTCTACGATGTTTCATTGCCAGTCTAGTGGGTTTTATCAAGATCTATTCTGCGACAAGTTTTGGGTTTGTGTAGATCATTTGCCCGGGACAGGCGGATAAGAATAAATTTGACAATAGGCAGTAGGTAAACGGTGGACAGTGTTTTTTGGTATCTTGGATCTTGGTAAAGCTCGAGCTATGTTTAGCCAGGCAGTCAGAAAGCGAATATCACAAAAGCGTTTTGTTTTGGTTAGCACGACTTTGTCTGACGGAAATGTGGGGCACAACAAGAGAAGTTCAGTTTTTTTCGGTAGTCGCCTAGTCACGTTTACGTTAACAAAACTGTGTGTGGTGAACCAGATCGTCGGGTTCAGCAACTAAACAAACGAAATCTATGGGCAATTGTGGTGGAATTACTAGGCATGCCACACTATCTGCGATCGCACATACAGTGATCTCCTGATCAGAAGCGAACAAATGAATGCTTACTTCGCCAGGTTAGCAGACCGTTTTCTTCTCTCTGTATTTCCTGCTGGTACCTCCAAAAAATGAGTCGATGCGTCGAATATTTGTGCAAAAAGACTCTAATTTGTGTTTGAAATCCAACTTTGAAAAGAAGTAGCCACTGATCAGTAGGTGATATGTTACACACACTCTTGCAGTATGTCACAGCGTAGCTGTAGAATTTGTAACCTGACAAGCCATCGGGAAAATCCTAGCCACGGATTTATTATTAGGCCGATTGTTCCGAACACCAGAATTTCGATTCAACAACTAAATATTAAAATTACGGTAAACATGTATTTCTGTTATTCTTCTCGGAAAGGTGGATAATTGAGCTGCATATCAAAATGTCAGGTCAAGCCCAGTTTCGAAGATAATTATAGGAATTCTTAAAATGTTTTGGAGGCAAAACGCCCGGTGGAAGAATGATTTGGGATTCCACAAGCATTCGTGAGAGCGGTTTGGTAAAAACATTTATCCAGTACCTTGGTTTATTGCTTAAGACACCCAAACACAGAGTGAATTGGCTCCAGAGTGACCAAATGGTGGTTTGCTGGAAACGTTTCTCCATGGAATGCAACGTAGAAGTTTGAGAGTTTCAGTCATAAGCGGAGATGTGCCAACCTCCAATTAAGACGGCAAGAGTGAGAGGAATATATCTCGGTAGGTTTTTATTAAGTACGTGGCCGGTTTCAATATGACCGAAAAAAACAGCTGTAAACGTTTCACATTTTAGCTCAGTATATCTGTTGTGACGTATCACGGTTTTCTGCTAAGATGAGGTCGTTAGGTAATAAGAATAATTTTTCCCTAACACTCCCGCCACATGAAAACAATACGTTTTAGAGGAATTCAGTCAGCTTAGTATAAGTACATTTCTCTAGCGTAGGCCATTTTATACCGCTCGTTTGTTATGCTGAATGACAGCCCATTGCGATATTCCTCCTCAATTGTAAATGGTGATTAGTACAATTTTTTGCCTTTGCCAATGTATTTTCTACCTTCGTTTTCTGGTTCACAAAGAAAATATCAAATGATACTGCTAGATGGATTTTATAACTATGAATGGAGTAGATTATTTCATGGTGCGTAATTTATTAAATTTTCCGAATGTCGACTTGTGTGGATCCGGTTCCTCCTGGATCCTCAACGGCGTTTGTGTCGAACGTCAAATCCAATAATATCGTGGACAGGGATCGAGTTTACTTTGTTATGTGGCTTGATCGAGGATGGTTTGAGGACCTTCAGAGTCCCAGTACATCTATTTCACACTTATGAGTAATTAAGGTAAAAAAGAAAGACTGGTAAGCGAAATTCGTCTCCTCTTAGTTCAATTTTCTAATTCCGGAAGTGTCGTTCACATTACCGGTTTCAAAAATTACCCGTAGGACGTACCAGTTTTTCATAGCATAAAACTAGACATCCTAAAAAGTATAAGCAGGTGAGATTCTGTAAACGACGACCAATAAGATAAATATCCTGGAACAACGTAAATGAGGTTGTGTCCTGAAGACTGTTTAACCTCTTTACTGGAAAGCGACATATGGTTAGCAGATTTTTCCGGTTCACCATTATTATTTCGACTGAACGTTCAACTACTCTGATGCGATCTACTACAGGAATTGAAAACTTTATCGATGATTGTGCTTAGAACGCTGTAAATATCGAGGGCAGAATTCGGAAGTTCTGAATGTCACTGTAATTTATCCCCCAAACTATACCACTACAAATTTTTTCACGGCGCCAATTAAATCTTTCCCAGACGGCTCTCACATAAATGACGCTTGTGAATTCTTCATACCGTGAGTGTTTCATATAGTACCGAGGCAGCTGTATTTGTCACGTGAACAGCAATCTCCAAAAAACTGACGAACTCTCCCCTTTGGGAAATACCGCAACTTAAACAGTTTGTTCCCAATTGTGAATCATTTTGTTCCCACGGTCGCTTCAACGTGGGCACTAAAATGCGTTTTGAATAAAAGTTCTTTATTTAGGATAGAATTAATATAATTTAAAGGTAGTTACATTGGGTTACGTCGTACTTTTACGCTGAAGATAATCATCTCCCAGCGCTAACCTCGTGTTGCAAGTGTCAGCTGAAGAATGTACTGCACTTTTATAAAAGTTATTTTTGTCACTCAGGTTAGCATTTAAACATGTCAGTAAATGGGATGAAGAGTCACGGTTTGTTAGCCGTTATATGCAGGGTAGATCCTAGTAGCCTTGCAGTTTGAGGTTATTCTCTTAGTTGGCGATGAATCTGAATGGCTTCAACCTCATGGCTTCAACAATAACTATCGAATTACGGAATACTAGCGTATATTTTAAGAGAAAATCAATAGAAGGACGCGGTGTTTCCGTGGTCGGTAGCATTTTCTATGACTGAACACAGAACTCGACCGAAAACACTGAATCACAGTTTCAGGCACATTGACCAGTTTAAAGGCGCATAAATTTGTCTAACGTCTCCAAGCCCTAACTCAAACATACTATTCAAAATATGTAGAGTGAACTTAGTCACACTCAAAATTGCACTCATTAAGAATCGAATTTCTCATTTTTATTGCACATATTTCTCTGTTGACAAAGTTTGATAGTTAGCTGCACTCATGTTACGTACGAGCGTACTCATCAAGCTTTGCACGTGTGTGGATTGCAGTCAACCAGGAGTGTAAATTTTGAGCATAAGGAAACCAACGTTTGTTTACTTGATTGCGGTCTGTACCTTGCGAGGAAAAGGACTGATTTGGGTTAAGTAAATATATGCTGAACCTCCGAAGTGCAATAAAAATTGCTCTTCTATTGTATTGCCACGAAGATTCAACGAACGAAGCGTTTATTATTTTAATCCCATTCATGAAATCGATGGAAATCCTGAGGAGTTCACTAACGATCTTCTGATTCACGAAGCTGGTCTAGTACACCTATTCCTCATCAAGCTCACTTCTTGGACACCCGTTATATGGTAAGCACACTCGCTTGTAAATCAAGTTGATGTCGGCAGTGGCCCAGCAACCTGATGAATGATACTGAAACGTACTTTGATATCGTGAATGTCGTTCCACCTACAACATGAGGCCGTCGTTGTGCAACATATCTAGTAGAAGACCATGTTAAATGCGGCTGAATTCCCAACAGTGGCTTATTGTTGCTGCGTTTTCACTAGAGAATGGAGACATCAAAACGAGATATCAAAAACAACAAGGCTAATGGGGTTCGTTGTATCATATAACTTACAAATGCCGATGCACTGTATGGGTTTTCTCAATATGTCAGTATTTTGCCTTGAACCTAAAAGGACCTGATGGGCAGTCTGGTGCTATTTTGGCCGTGAAGTCAGAAGCTGAATTTAGCAGATACTGCGACACCTACTGCTTTGTGGCCATCAGTGACATTATGATTTGCGCTCAGCTCTTGCAGTTTTTATTGGGGAGTCATAATGCAATATAGTCATACTGCACTATAGTCATAATGTGTACTATCAACCAGCTCCTCCACACAGCTGCTGGGACACTGGGGTTGGGCTCACAAGCCCCGGGTCTGGTGAGCCTGCCGGCACTACTGAGTACAGCTGGAGGTGAGATCGCCGAAGCTTACCACAATATTAAGTACAGCGTGGAATCGATGAACTTAATCGCTCGAAGAATTATGCCTGGGTATGACGCATTTCGTGATGCTCACACTGCATCATTTTAGACGTCCAGTTGTCGAACAAGATTTTACCACTCACCGTTGGCTTCACATGCATGAATATTATGGTGAAATGGCCAAAAGCGACCACCAACAATAGCCATTGACTCCTGAATCATACGAGTAAAATCAACGTCGCTGAGAAAATTCAAAATCCCAAACCTCAAAATAGTAGTGTCTCCGAGGCTGTTCGCTAGCTTCAGGTTCTCCGGCATAATTCTCCGATCGCCTACCTGGCTTTTCTGAAGCATTGTGAATTTGAATCCAGTCAATATTCGATCAACTTGAAACGAGAAGGCATTGAGATACCTGTTTAAACCTCAGTTCATATCAGCTACGGAGCTCTACTTCAGATTATTCACAACTAAGTCTTACGTAGTTCTGCTTAGCTCTGTAAAATACCAAAACTTCCTAGATGAAAGGCTTGTCCCCTTTTAAAAACGTCCGAAACAAACTCTTAATTTGGATGCCTCAAGGCACACAGAACAATGAGGGAAAATAGAATTACGGCAGTGTGTTTAGAGTTAAATTAAGTTGGCCGCCTATGAAACCATGGAATTCCTAGGGTAGCCCTTATGCTTTAGTGAGCGCACAACGCAGTCTTGCCCGAACCAATTCTGGTCTGTTCTTGAGTTAACCTAAAACGTAGTAGGTAGGTATACTCTGTGGACAGAGATAATTAGGCACCTGTCACTTGATAATTTACACTTTACTT